CCCAAAAAAAAAAATAATACGATTGGATTCATGTTTTCAGGTTAATATTAATGATATATCATTCTCGATATCCAGGGGTTACGCTCACTTTCGCTCTCTACACCCCTGGATGGAATTGCAGAGATACTGACTGTTTCGATAAGAGATTAGAGGTCTGTTTTATTATTTATAAAGAGGATGTTGATGTATATCATCCATTCTTTTGTTTCTGGTATGGTTTCATTATTCTAAACCCCCGTTTGTTTTGAAAATGTTCATAGTATGAGGTATTCTCTCGTCGAGTGACATCACGGCATGTTTTAGAATTTTGCCTCTTTGGAGAAACAAACTTTTTAGCAACAAAAGCAAAATACAGAAGCCATATAAATGAGGAAACTACAAAAAAAAATATGTTATTTAATCATATGAAATGTCGGAAATACAGTTTGTATATAAGGGTTTCATACGAAGTTATTATATCTCTCAGCTTACTGTTTCCTCTTCCTTTGAGATCGGCAGATATTGGCCTATCGACGTATTAGAAGGGGTATGATTGGGTGATACAGGATCATGAAGGGCACGTTAAAAATGTACGACCGGGGAACCAAAAAACAACAGGGAGGAAACTCTAAAACGAGATTCCCACGGCGGACAAGGACCATTCTCACTGCGAGTAGTTCATACATGGATCAAAACTATCGGTGAGAGAAGAGACGTCACCAAACATTAACAACCTACCCGAGAGCGTATTGAGGGCAACAAACATTAACAACTTACCCGAGAGCGTATTGAGGGCAACACACATTAACAACTTACCCGAGGGCGTATTGAGGGCAACACACATTAACAACCTACCCGAGGGCGTATTGAGGACAACACACATTAACAACTTACCCGATGGCGTATTGAGGGCAACACACATTAACAACTTACCCGAGGGCGTATTGAGGGCAACACACATTAACAACTTTCCCGAGGGCGTATTGAGGGCAACACACATTAACAACTTTCCCGAGGGCGTATTGAGGGCAACACACATTAACAACCTACCCGAGGGCGTATTGAGGGCAACACTCAGGAACAACTTGCCCGAGAGCGTATTGAGGGCAACACACATTAACAACCTACCCGAGAGCGTAGTGACGGCACTTAACATAAACAACCTTTGTTGATAGGTGCCGGCCGGTAACACTGTTAAAGGCTATTAAGCGTAATAGCAGGGCTTTCATTGATTCATTAAACGTAATTATGACTTGTATAGGTCTTACTATAAATGTTTCTGGATGTTGACACATTCATTTATTATCATGATACGTTAATCAGTTACGTGGCAAACCAAAACTTGCAACTCTCACGCCGGAAATTAGCAGTTCCACTGCACATGCGCGCTGGCAACTTTCACGGGACTTGCAACTCTCACGCTACAACGTTAATAAACAATATTTACAGTTTCAAGTGTAATTGACTCAATAACTTTTGTTGAGGTCATTGTCACTCGATAACGACAATCATTTGCGCAGTGACACAAACAACCCGGGGTTTTCCATTGCTACTTTTAGAAGTAAACAGAATTACCGGTGATATCAGATTCATGCAAAAGATAAATTGTTAAAATGTATACATACATTGTTGAAATTTATGCATTCCGATGACGTCACGTTGTTTACAGCGCCCGTGGATTTTGTGGGTGGTTTTATGTGTTTGTTCATTTACATACGTTTACTTTGATGACATAGTGTAAATAATACCCACAAATACGATATTAAATTCAATTTTGACAATGACGTTCGATATACGGCAATTTTGCCGTAATATTTTCAACTGCACTCGATAAGCTAGGCTGGTAGATAATGGTAATCACAGGACGGTTTGGATAAATGTACTTGACCTACATGTCATTTGCCTGCCTAAATACTGATAGTAAGTTCACAGCACACGAACTTGGTTTTGTAATGATTTAAAGTTATCATCAACATTTTTAAATTACTTAGAATTTTTGATTTGAGAATGCTTGTTATCCTTCCGCGGGATATAATCCGGTTAAAAGAACGCGTTTTATGTTTATATAAAAGAAATACTATAAATAAAATGATTAGCATTCTATTGAGTTTAGGTTACCCGAATTACATTGTAGTTATCACCCGATAACCTTAACCCAATAGAAAGTTTATCCTTCATTAACAATCGACCCGAAATATAAATAACAGCCCGAAGCGTAGTGGCGGCACAAAACATAAACAACCTACCCGAGAGCGTAGTTACGGAACCAAACATAATCAGCATATCCGAGGATGTAGCAACGGCACTAAACATAAACAACATACCAAAGAACGTAGTTACGGCACCAAACATAAACCTACCCAAGAGCGTAGCAACGGCACCTAACATACACAACTTACCAGCGAGCTTAGTAACGGCAACAAACATGAACAACCTACTCGAGAGCGTAGTGACGGTTCCAAATATAAACAACCAACCCGGGAGCGTAGTAACGGCAACAAACCAATAGCCTAGATAATCCTTGGGCCTAACAAGCATTTTTATCTAATAATAAATCTGAATTTCATTAATAACGGGCTTTGGTAACATATTTCATTATACCTTAATAATTTAAAAAAAATATGTACTATTTGGAGACTGGTGTAGATAAAATCAGAAATGAACCTGTACCATAAATAAACTTATCATATCTTAATAGTCATTTAAAATGACTTGTACCTTTCGTTAATAAGATATGAACCGTCATACTGACCTATACATTTTTCCATGTATTTTGTTTCTCAGCACAATCCTATCCGCCCACCAATGTTAAAGCTGTGTACGTGGCTGATGGTACCATCAGGGTTACCTGGGATCCTCCCACCACACCGGGGAGAAGTGATGGGTATTCCGTCCGAATCCAGGAGACAGGTGAATATGGCCATGTCTCAGCTGATCACCGTGTGTACCAGTTCAACAATACCAGACCGGCTACAACATACACGTTAAGGGTGGCCACAATTATATCAGATAGAGTCACAGGTCCATCTCAGACCACCATCACCACTCGTAAGTACCTTGCAATGTAATTTATATTTATAATATTTATAAATAATCAGGTTTTTTGTCATCAGGCTTTTTTTGTATGACAATTTGGAGTTGTGTCCCCTGGCTGACTATAAATGATAAGAATCTGATGTTCTTTTTTTACGCAACCAATAAAAAAAATCATGTGACATTTCGATGACTAGCACTAGTTATCGAAACGTCAAATAGAAAATTGTATTGGTTGTGTAAAAAAAGAACTTCTCATAATCCATACCTACCAACCAGAAGAAAATGTTAAGAAATATGATAAGAATCTGAAATATTTTGTTTGTTTTTTCATTGATTCAATATTTAGTTGTTTACATGGCTTATCAAATATTTTTACAACCCTCCTTATCTTTATGTAGACAATAATGAAGTTATAATATTACTTCTCTTTATAATAATAGGATTTATTCCAGCGAGGGGAAGCCTACAACATGTAATTACATTACATTATACATAATCATTCACTCCACACTCTCATTCCGGGCTCATACTCACTACATATACACATATGAATGCTGACCAGGGACACCAGGAAGGTGCCGTCGGAATGCTCATATGCTGGTCACCTGTAGCCGGGGCATATCCTAAACTACGTGACAGTAGTCAGGTGACACGGGACAGAAGCCCGTGCTACATGCGTTACATGCACATTTGCGCGCGCGGGGACAAACAGGTGACGCCTGGCTATATTTATATATAATTTGAGTTAACATGGCGCTATCTAGATTGAAACTCTACCAGAAAATGTTTGAAAACGTACTTAAAATCGTATTAGTGCAAATTCTTCTTCTGGTCTCACATTATTTAAGGTGTAGGTGGAATTCGAAGCGAACATGTCACAAAACCAGAAAAAATAACGACTTACGTCAACAATTTTTTGAACGAAATTTTAGAGGTTCATGTTAAAATCTTAGTTTGGTCAATATAACTAGATAATAAATTTGTAGTTGTGGGATGGCACATCGTTACATAATGTGCGCTATGTGCACGGTGTTTGAACGTTGTGCGCACCGTGTACGAACGGTACAAATCTGGACGATTATTTCTTGCGCACAATTGTGCGGACAATGGACGAACGATGTGCGATGACAATCGTGGTTGGTGTAAATTGAGGAATGGCTTAGGTCCGATAACCTATGTATAGGGGAGTTATGGACCAAAACGAATGCAATTAACAAATACCTAATATTCAGTTGTGTTTTCATAACGGTCATACGGTAGCACATAACATCTTTCTGTGTCATACAAAGGCCAGGTAATTCTCCGGTCACTCATCAAAATATTAAATACCTGTTCTGTTACGTGGGAGCCAAACCTATTCTTGACAATATAACGACCACTGTAATACTTTTAACTCGTATTGTAAAATTAAACATGATCCTAATTATTATAATGAGAAATTGATATATACAGAGTATCTAATTTCAAGGGAGCCTTCCGGATTTCTTTCATTCCGTGATATCGATCAACCAATTGTACCAAATCGCACATTTGTGTGGAGAGAAGCGCACAACGGGGCGAACGATGTTTAAATCGCAGTTGTTCGCACCATGTGTGGACGGTTTGCGAACAATGTATTCACGATGTGCGCACGCTATAATTGGTGTGTTGTGCGGCAACATATAAAAAAAAAATTGTAGCTAAATATTATATAATTTTGTATAACCTTTGATATGGCGTACCATTTTGGTACTCGTCGAAAACATGTGTTACCACTTAAACAGTAGAGCTCTATTTTCAGAAACAAATAACATAGAATTGAAACTTTAAAAAATGCATCACCATTGGCCGTCTTTGTTAAACCAAGAAATATTCCATATCTGTGATTCGAAATAACAAACACAATTTATTATCTAATACAGACTATTTCCGTGCAATATTGTCGTTCAATAAAAATGGTATAGTAATCGTACAAAAATATGCAAATGAGTCTTGACATTGCGGTAGAACTTCTACGTTTGTAAACAAAATGGCTGACTTAGTTACCGGAGATACTGTTTGCATTGATCGCAGAGACAGGGTCACTGTGAACGACATAAATTAATATTCGAGTCTATTAAATTCAATATAACATGAACACGCGTGTTATATTCACACAAATTCAACAGCTGCATGTTCAAATTTCCACTTTAACTTCCCTGACACACACACATAATCAATGGCGACCACGTGTAACCGGTCATCTTTATCAGTGTTCCAGTTTCATGGCGGATTCCACAGTTTATATTCTGACACGCGAAAACATCGAGGTTCACATTCATTAAGAACTCTCCCAAGAAACGCGGTTGTCTTATAAAAAGTGCCGATTTCGACGTGATGACCTTAACCATGTCAATGGACGCGCCGTTGTGCCAAAATTGTGACGTCACTGCTATTTTCTTAAACGCCAATTCGTTGAATGTTAATGTTGTTATGATAATTATTAAAACTTTGATAGATAAAAAGAAACCTCAATAATTGTTTGTTCATATGAAAGTTTCTCGGGGAGAAGTGTCTGGAACTATTTTTTGGGAGCAGCGAGCTCCAAACATAATGCATGTTATGCGTCCTTTCGCGAGTCGCTATATAGAGGAGACGTATTGAGAACAATTATGTTGATGTGTTTCTCGAATTATATAATATATAACATCTAACACTCGTGTTCGTTTATTAATTAGTAAACTCGTTTGATAAACTCAATATTACCAGAACACTCGTGTCATATCCTCTTTATGTATCATGGGGGAAAAGTCAAAACTTAACCAATAGAGGAAACGTCACATTACCTTATATCGTTACAAAATCACAAAGTCTGCAGGTGTTTCCCAAAGTATTCACCTCTCACGGAACACATGCAGTTGGTAACAGCAGGTGTGTTCTTTTTTCGATCCCAATCCTTCAGGGGTAGCCTGGAGTATACTGTCCTACTGTCGACAACAGCCATATCCTATCACGCCTTTAGGATAACGCCTAGGTTGTGTAGGTCATCAATAAACAAAGTGTAACCCCAGTAGTACAAAAGTAAACTTGTTCCGAATCTAAACTCCTACAGAGAAAAGGTACAAATCGAGATGAATTTGATATATGTTATCCAAATGTCAGCATGGATATATATACATTAGTAAGTGTCAAGAATATTTGATAACAAGAGGCCCAGAGGGCCTGTATCGCTCACCTTGAAATGTAAGCAGAATTATAGATGAAATATCCAGATGATGTTGTACATGTATTACATGGTTAGTCAGGGGTTATATTTACATGCAATTGGACAAAATCCTATCATTCCTACAGGAAAAGGAGGATTTTGAAGATTTGCTATGTTTCCACTATTGGGCCCCGCCCCTCTGCACCCAGGTGGGTCAGACCAACCGTTGATACAAAATTAGTTCACCTTTCCCCAAGAATGTTTTGGACTAAATATGGACATAATCCTGTTATCCCTACAGAAGAAGAAGGATTTTAAAGCCATTTTTCTATTTTCCCTATTCGGTCCGCCCCTCTGCCCCAGGGGGTTAAACCCACATTTTATATAAAATTGGTTCCCCTTCACCCAAGGGTGCTTAGTCCCAAATCCTTTCGTTCCTACAAAAGAAGAAGAATTTTGAAGAATTTGCTATGTTTCTCAACGTTTATACAAAATATAGTCCCCTTCACCAAAGGATGCTTTAGACCAAATATGGACAAAATCCTGTCATTCCTACAGAAGAAGAAGAATTTTAAAGATTTTGCTCAATTACCCCTATTGGGTCCCATCCCTCAGGACCCAGGGAGGTCAGACCCATCAGTTATACATAATTGATTTCCCATCCCAATAGGATGCTACTTTTCAAATTTGGTCAAAATACCTTCATCACAACGGAAGAAAAAGGATATTAAAGCTATTCCTATATATCCCTTATTGAACCCACCTATCTGCCCCCAGGGGGGTCAGGCCAACCGTTTATACCATGTTAGTTCCCCTTCACCAAAGGGTGGTTCATAGTAATTTTGGTCAAAATCCTGTCGTTCCTACAGAAGAAGGTATTTTCACCAAATTTGCTATATTTCCCCTATTGGGCTCCGCCCCTCTGCCCCCAGGGGGACCACACCCACCGTTTATTCAAAATTGAGTCCCCTTGGCCCAAAGATGTTCCAGACCAAATTTACGATAAAATCCTTTGATCCCTACGATAGAAGAAGGATTTTTAAGAGTTTACCTCTATTTTCAGTATTTGGCCCCGCCCCTCTGCCACCAGGGGGACCACACCCACCGTTTATACAAAATTGAGTCCCCTTGGCCCAGGGATGCTCCATACCAAATTAAGAGAAAATCCCTTAATCCCTACGGTAGAAGAAGGGTTTTAAAGGTTTTAGCTCTATTTCCATTATTTGGCCCCGCCCCTCTGCCCCCAGGGGGTCACACTCACCGATTATTCAATGCTGAGTTCCCTTGGCCTAAGGATGCTCTACACCAAATTTAGTCAAAATCTACTAGGTTGTTCAGGACTAGTAGCGTTTTAAAGGAAAAGTTGACGGATGGACGACGGACGACGGACGCTGCGGTATGACATAAGCTCACCAGGTGAGCTAAAAAATAATATGCTTATCATATTGAGACTTTTTCGACTATATACCAAGGTACGTCTATTACATTGTATGTGCAAACAAAACGCTCCTTTCAAAAGGCCTTCTTTGTGTGGACTGTAACAAAGGCACAAGGTCAATGTAAGATTTTGTTTGGTCTAGATACCGTGAAACATTTCCCTTCATTTAAACGATTTGTTCATTTTTTCTATGATGACGTGAAATGGTATGGGGTCACCTGCCCGACTAAGTGGGTTTTCTTCGATAAGTCCGTTTTCCTACCACATTAAATCGCCCATGCGCTGACGTCCAGACAACAAGAGTGGTTAATATAAGTTTTAATAATTTGTTTCATAATTGTTGTATAACATAAATTGTCAGGTTTACATAAATCTTTATTTATCAACATTTAATATGAAATAGGTAAGTCCTATTCATCGGGCACAGATGAGAATACAGTCATAACTTAACTGTTTCACTTTATGTACAGTCGGTAGAATAGTTATAATATAATCCTTGCATAATTCAATTGAGGCACTATTCTATATATATTTTGAGGGGTGGAGGGGGGGGGGGGTATATATGTCCAATATCGGGTAAACAGGGACAAGTTTGGCCTATTTTCATTAATATTGTTCTGGACAGCATTTGTTAAAATGTATGTGTATTTACACCGTTCGGCAGAGAAATCGCATGCCCTTCATAAAAACTATAACAAAATGGCTTAGATCCTCAAAAATGTAACTATCTGCTCAAGACCAAAAATAGCAGGAGTGGCCGGAGTTACCTCAGGGCCGAAGGTGCCCCGGTCTCCGCTAAGGTGCCCTAACCCCATATTGAACCATGCCGCAATGGATCTGCTCTTGTTCGTTGTTTTCAAAGCACCTCAAAAATAATTGCAAATCAAGTATTGGCGATATTAAATCACTCATCTAGATTTCATCTGAATAGGGATATATAAAGAACAAAAATCGATCTGCCGTCCATATTGGAATATTTTGTACTTCTATCTATGTTTTTCCTTCGACTTACTTTCTTAGCTGTTGAAATGATGCAAAACTCTAAACACAAATTTCATAATTGTTTCGTATCTGTTATGACTTCATTCCATTTTTCAAGGGACAATATATTTTATTAAAATATTCTGATTTGTAAATCATTCTGTAAACAAGTTATCATGACGTTACATGCTGGGCAGTCGTAACAATTGTAATGAAGACGATCAGCAGAGGATTACAAGACCCATATAGCTGATCGCTTTCTTTTCTTATATTAACTTGAAAGCAAAATGAATGGCTTTTAAATAATTTAATATCATGCATGATGGACGTCTCAGAATTTCAATTGATCTAGCAACACTTGTTAATAGCAATGTCAAAAACACTTTTATTGATCTGTTGGATTGCCCCGAGAAATCAGTAGAAGGTTTCAAGTCAGTGGCTGTATGGAGTTAAACAAAATTGTTAGTTTTAACGACCGGTGTATTTGTTTGTTTTCCTCAGACGGTACCGTAAAGTACTGATATGAGCATAAGAACGAAAATAAAAAAGTTGATTTACACAATTTTGTAGACTAGTGCTTGTCAATACATACATTGAAAAGAATCAAAGATCTTACTCCAGAATTGATGCTAATTTGTACAATTAGGATAATGATTACATTATGCAGTACAGATTGAAGAGATTCCGCCTACATTCAAAGACACGAAAGTACAGAGGAATTGTTAAACGAGGGATAAGGAAAGTTGTGATCTAAAAGTACAGAGTAATGACCATAGAAAATATTTGTTTATGTCAAGTTTCACATGCATGTACTATTGTGTATTTCAATGGTCTGTATTCCTATACAACAAATGGAAGTAGCATGCATCTAGTATGAATTGTTTTTATAAGATCGTAGGGCCACATTGTTACCTTGTTTCTTGCGTTACAGCAACTGCCATATATCGACAAAGAGGTACAGGGGCAAGATTGACTCTTCCAAAGCCTCCTGGTGGTATATCAACCATTCGGTTGAATAGTCAAACACTTTTCACTTTCATCGACAATGATAACATTGGTGGTAACAATAGAATTGAGTATGGTGCAACAGTCAGAGTGACGTCAACAAAAACAGAACTGACCTTTGATCGCCTGAAAACAGAGCATGCTGGGTACTACTACACCATACAACAGAGTGGATATATAATCCTTGGAGGGCAAATGTTAGTAGTAACTGGTGAGTCAAACTTATTTTATATGTGTAGAAAATTCGTTGTTTGTTACAGATAAGTAATACTTTTGATACTTAAAGGACAGCTATTAGTAAATGCCGGAAAATGTCAGCTACTTTGTACTTTGAGCTATCATAACTACAAATTTAGACCTAAGGACATTTTAGAGCGGAGCCAGAAGATATTGGGAAGGATTTATTCCACCATGGTGTTAATAAAGGGAACGCTCCCATACCGAACTCAAACTAAATACCTAAGACCTAATATTGTTTTATTCAAATATAGATTAACCAATTAGAATTTACTAAAATGTTTTGATAAAGAAAAGTCAATCAGGAAAGAGAATATTTTCAGACATAATATCATCACAGGGTATAAATTAGTACTATGTACCGAGAAATTTTTAATTGCTATGTATATATGTTCACAAAGGTTTGCTGTTTTGACAAATTCGTCCTCGGTACGGCGGGCGAAAAGGGGGAAATTTTAAGTGGATCGAAAATTTCCTGGTAAACAATATTCATTTTGCGTTTTTTATTCACACTTTCATACTACTAATACATATGTACAACTGCCATGTAATATAAGTTAGTGTATAGTCAATTACTATCGATCTTATATAATGATATAACTCTCTACAAGCATTTAATAATGATCAATTTGTTGTCAGACACACCCACTCGGCCAAAAATTACCTCTTCAAATGCTTCGCCTGTTCTCAACACATCAGTGAGATTGGTATGCTCTTCAGCTTCTCGAAGTCAACCGGACAATCATGGATTGGTTTTAACAGCCACCTGGAAATTGAATGGTAGTGCATTAAACCATGCCAGATTCTCAGTCAAAGGTTTAAGTCTCACTATCAATGCCGTACGATTCACAGACAAATATGATGTCTACGCATGTGTGGCTAGCGAGAAAGGACAGGGAGTAAGTGGATTGTCCTCAGGGGAAAGTGAAGAGGTCAAGCTAACACCACGCTGTAAGTACACAATACTAGGACCAGCTAAATAGCATAACTAGAACATGGTATGCTTTGATAACTATTTAGAGTGTTAGTTGGAACACCATGACATGAAACTAACACAAATCCGTGTATTTTCGTTTGTGGTTGTAGTTTAAACCAAGATAAAAAAAAAATCATAAGTATCATACCTAAGAAAATACATTCTTTTTAAATAAACAGTTGATGTGCCATAATAAATGATACGCAGAAGCGCATATTCGAAAATATTTTGAATGATTTAAAATATGCAGTTTTTATCCTCATATTTACGATAAAAACAAAATGAATGGCATCTGTCTGTCAATAATTTCTTCAAACGACTTATTCGTTTATTGAAGCTAAATTAAATTTTTACCAAATTTGAATGAATTTTTTTCCTCAGTTAGTTGGAATTCAAAGTTGTACAATTGTCGGGATTAGGATCCCCCCGTACCCCAAACCCCAGGGGGCTTATGGGCAAACCAAAATGAGCTTTGTAATTGATATCAGCCGTATTTAATTGAAAGCGTTATCAGATGGTGGAAATTCAAAATTGTACAAAAAGAAGGGTCTGTCCAACGAATATTGGGTCAATACTTTGAAACAGTGGATATCCTGATCCTATTACAATTAAGACGAACGCGCACATGCTACCAGGATGACAACAGAGTCTTGCCCACTCTCGAGGACTTACATGTAGTCCCAGGGTTATAGCTGGGTCATAAGTGGTTAAGATCCCTACGCCGTAACCATATATACAATAAATAGACAAAACCAATTAGGTAACTGGAAGTGACCCTAGGATCAGGCCACACCCCTGGGGGGACAGGTTAACAAGAGACAACCTTGAAACAATTGAGGTCCCGATTATATAGCCATATATACTGCATTGCATCGTGCCGCTAATGGTGGGTTGAAAAAAACCAACTTTGAAACAGTTGTTAGATTGAAATGCCTCAAAATATTGAAATGAAGTCAAATATTTTATTTAATAAATATAAGCTTAGCCTGAAAATCATTTTTATTGAACATTATAACACACACAGACGACATTTATGTCACAGGAGGATACGTTAAATCCTGGACTGGTTCTCTTGCAGATGGACCGCAGTTTGTTACGATAGAGAACAATGAGGATAAATCTCCAGGGATCAGTGGAAATGCCTACGGTCCTGTGTCCTGTAGAACCGACTGCAACCCTTTTTGTTTAATGGAGTGGCGGAGACAAGGCATACCATTCATTCAATCACATGGGGATCCCAGTAATGAACTGGAGTTGAGGGACCCCTCACTCCCGAGAGAAAGGGAGGTAACTTATACTTGTCAAGTAGAAGTGGCATCATCTGCAGGTTTTACTGCACCGACACTAGAAAATAGCACAACAGTTATTGTTTATTGTAAGTACAAAACATATGTGATCTGGTCTCAGTTATTCAAAAGTGATAAGCTCAATCACTGTTAAAAAACCCATTTTCAATCTGTAATGATTTTGTCGATATACAATGTAAAAAACTGGATTCTTTGCATGATATTTTATTCTACCAAAATCTTTGTTGGATGGAAATCTTTCTAACTCAGTTAATCGTTGCATTTTAAGGTTAAAGACAAATTGTGCTAATTACTGAGCAGGCTAATTACCTTTCAAATAATTGAACCCCGAACTTTATGTTTAATATTTGTCCTGGTTTATAACTTTTGATAATCTAATCACTTGTTTGGCAATGATAATTATTTCATAAATTAGCTATCGATCTGGACAGCTAGTTCCTTAAGTTCTGTCTCGTTCGCTTGAAACTTGCGATGTTCAACCATTCTTATATTGTTCGTGTATACGTCTATCATATTGTTAATCATTATCTAGTTACAGACTTATTGCTCTTGTTCAGATCACCTGTTACTCAGATGACTTATTAGAATGACTTTTCATCCGTTGTTGCCAGTCATGTGTAAACATATATACATTTTAGACTTATTCTAAAACGTTTCTCGGACTTGATGAATTTCAGAAGTAATTATCAGCCTAGTGTAGGGACCAGAATCTATACTTAAGAAGGTTGCCTGGAGATGCCATATATTAAGTTGTCACTTCGTGCGAAATCTTCAAATGACATCTGTCATGAAAATTGTATTTGGATGTAGACCATGTCTTTACATATTCTTAAGATAATAAGGACCAGAATTTTGACTCAGGGAGAGGCTGAACCCTAAACGACTGGGTCAAAATTGATCAAAATTTGTAAATCTTTCAAATAATATCTTCTCTGAAACGTGCAGTTGGATTGTTACCAACAAGTTATTAATCTTTCACAGGAGAGTAAAATAACTTAATTTGAACTCAAAAAAAGGCTAACGCCATCCCACTCCAAGGTGCGTTAGGAATAGGATCATATTATAAGTGATCACAACTATCACATAAATGACTTAAAACCATAATATATAGGACTTTCAGTCGTCAGATATGGGACTTGCAACCATTAGATGCCAGACTTACAGCAATAGTTGCTCGTAGGACCCACAACCATCAAATGAAGGGCATATTTACATCTTACGAAGAGCTAACCACATGTGGGACAAACAAACATGAGTTGTAATACTTACAAAATTCAGATAAGGGACTTACAACCATGAGTTGTAAGACTTAGAACCATCAGATAAGGGACTAACAACAATGTGTTGTAGAACTTAGAACCATCAGATAAGGGACTAACAACCATGAGTTGTAGGACTTAGAACCATCATATAAGGGACTAACAACCATTTGTTGTAGGATTTAGAACCATCAGATAAGGGACTAACAACCATGAGTTGTAGAACTTAGAACCATCAGATAAGGGACTAACAACAATGTGTTGTAGGACTTAGAACCATCAGATAAGGGACTAACAAACATGTGTTGTAGGAATTACAAAATTCAGATAAGTGACTTACAACTTTGTGTTGTATGACTTACAACCGTCAGATAAGGGTCTTACAACCAGGTGTTGTTTGACTTACAACCATCAGATATAGCATAACAAGAACATGGTATGCTTTGATAACTATTTAGAGTGTTAGTTGGAACACCATTACATGAAACTAACACATATCCGTGTATTTTCGTTTGTGGTTTGTAGTTTAAACCAAGATAAAAAAAATATCATAAGTATCATACCTAAGAAAGTACATTTTTTTTAAATAAACAGTTGATGTGCCATAATATATGATACGCAGAAGCGCATATTCGAAAATATTTTGAATGATTTAAAATATGCAGTTTTTATCCTCATATTTACGTTAAAAACAATATGAATGGCATCTGTCTGTCAATAATTTCTTCAAACGACTTCTTCGTTTATTGAAGCTAAATTTATTTTTTACCAAAGGACCTGTTACAGGAACAAAAGAATTTTGCCCACAAAGCAATTTAACCATTACTGGGTTATATTTGTAGCTCCCTAAGACACGACCCATGAGATATTTTTAAAAAATTAAAAAGGTCCTCAGGGCTTGTGCTATGAACTATTTAGTGCCGCCTTCCAAAGGTGTACGACAGGGTTCACTTTTTTGTCCAAAAAACTATCAAAACAATGTTTTACGCTATCAAATAATATTATATTATTTAAAGTAGGATCTGCTGCAAATTATGAACTCAAATAT